TGGTATGGTGTTGCAACAGGCGTATAGGAACAGTTCTGTAAGTGGCGCAATAACCTTTAGAAAAACTACCCATGAATTTACCAATCCCGTCATACATGGCATAACAAGTGTAATTACCTCTATAGACTGTGATTCCATCTGGTGGCTTAACATTTTCAACTGAGAGGGTATTCTGCCATCCATGCCATGCAGAGGGACCTATTAAAGTCATATTGGTAGGCAAAAAGGCTTAAGAAGCAATCTTCTATCTCTAAAGGGAGAATTAGGGGGACGGTGCCAAGGTGGGGTCGGGCACCGCCACATACATAACATGCTGTTTTATTATGTTTGTTGGCATTATACCTCATCCATTCTAACCACAAATTAATGTCATTGAATCCAGTTTCAGCAGCCATGGTATCTTCAAAAGTGGGGTTAGCGATGGCCATCATATCTTTAAAGGACCGGATATGTGGTTTTAGCGGATTTGGGACCATATGATCAGCCCCTTGCCACTCTGGAGAGTGGTACATATCTCTGAGGTAGAAATGACCTAATTTGTTGTAGGAACCTTTCTTCCAATACATTCCCATTACATATCGGTCTGCATCCTCGGGGCCAGGATGTTCAATATTTAACATTAATTTCATAGGGGTACTTCCTCCAGGCTTTCTTAAAGTCATTCTTTGAAGGAGGGATCTACCCTGATTGTCTATCTTAGATAAAGCACTTTTGGGTTTATAACCCCAGGCAGGCCCAGTATTCCATCCCGCAGCCCCCAGTAGTTACAGTCATAACCCCATTGTTCATCTACTACACAAACGTAAGGGTCTTTTGCTTGTGGTATATCTTTATAAATGGCTTGAATCTGTGACTTAGGGAATGGGCACTCTACAATATCACAGTAATCAAAAGGGAATGTAGCCACATGGGTACATGATGAATTATACCAGAAAGTGTACCCACTAGCATCTTTGGTGATGGCCACCTGCTGGGCTTTAAGGAGGCCAACTAAGGAGATAATGTACCAGAGGCACATGGTTGCATAGAGTTAGCTTCCTCTGGGGCAGGTGTCTTCTTGCAATGGGAAGCGTGGATCCAGTCAGGCCTTCCGGCCAATTTGACAGAGGTAGGGGAGATCAGGAGAACTTGGAACGGTCCGTCAAATCTTGGTTCCAGGGTGTGTTTTCGCAGAAATTTCTTGACCAGAACCCAGTCACCGGGGAGCAGACTGTGGTTGCCTGTGTCAGAATCAGGATCTGGAATTGAAGAGAAAACTTGGGCATGGATTTTGTTCAAAGCATTTGCGAGTTCAGTTACATAATCTACTAAAACATCAGTTTGAAGTTGTAGTTGTTGGGGAAAATAGCAACCTAGCCTAGGTGCAGTCCCAAATAGAATCTCATATGGGGACAATGAGGTAGTATTTTTGTACAAGAGCATTCATTAGATCTTTTGATAAATGTGCAGGTCTGTGTGCCCATTGTACGACTGCTGGGTACAAATTCTTAGGGAGGCAGAAATTGAGGTTGTTGGAGTACACTCCATCCTTCAGAACTGCCCCTTTCTCTTTCCACTTCTGTATTTCTTCAGGGGAAACTGTAGCCTGTTGTTCCCGCAGGATTTTTAGATCAGTTGGAAGTGTCTGCAAGGTAAATGTGGGAGTTTCTTCGTTTCCGGACACACTTCTGTCCACTTCCTGTAGTTCTCTTGCAGCTTGTTTTGCAGCTTGATCAGCTAGATGGTGGCCCTTTGCTTCATCTGAGTCCAACTTCCCATGTGCTTTTATCTTCAAAATAGCCACTTCTTCTGGGAGTAGGAGGGCGTCCATCAGCTCCTTGATTGCGGAACCATGCTTGATTGGTGTACCGGCGGTAGTAAGAAATCCTCTTGTTTTCCAAATTAATCCGAAGTCGTGAGCCACGCCCAGTGCATATCTTGAATCCGTGTAGATATTGGCGTGCTTTCCTTCAGAGATCTTGCATGCTGAAGTCAGGGCTTGCAATTCAGCTTCTTGTGCAGACATAGTTGATGGTAAAGATGATGATTTGACAATTTCATCTGTTGTGGTTACGGCATATCCTGTATGTTATCTTCCTTCTTCATCAGCATATCTTGAGCCGTCCACAAACAGGGTGAGATCGGGATCTACCAATGGGTCTTCATGCACAGTTGGTAGATGTGTTGTTTCCATTTTCATCTGTTCAAAACAGTCATGAGGTGTATCTGGGTCGTAGTCATTCACTATGGTTAAATCTTGGAACTCATTCTCCAGGAAATGACGTGGCCATGCTTTTAGGTGGTCAGTTGTTGGATATTTGACAACACCATGTTCCTGTAGCTGTGATTCGTCCATAGTGGCCCATGCTTTTGCCATAGGCCCAAGATCATTCCATGATATTGTTTTCAACTTGGTCACAGGGACATGTGGAATGGCAGTGTCCCAATGCCGGTACAAATACTTGAGTTCCGGAGGTAGATGAATCAAGACCATACTGTTGCCTTCAGAATCACAGTAGAAGTCTTGTGCAGTGAGTTTTACTTCGACCAGATTATAGAGTTCATCTTCATAGCAGGGTTCAGGAGTGATGTTTGGTTTGTACCACATGGTACAGAAGGCATGTCTTGCTCCGTCATGAAGGAGTGCTTGTCCATCATGAAAGGATAGGTTGGGATGCATTTCCTTCTTGATGGTGCCAGTGAGAAGAAAAACATAAATTTCGTCCATGATGAATCCGTAGTATACACCCCCCTCAGGGAGTGGCAGAAGAGTGGACGGATTGAGAACTTGACATCTTTGAAGGGTAATGTTGTCAGGCAACAAAAGGTGACATTGAAGGCGAAGATGCCTAGCAGGAGTAACATGCTTAAGTTGGACCTGGTTGACTATGGCAGAAATATCATGAGGGGCCAAGGACAAGATCCCCAGTTCTTTCAATGAGCTCTCTGGCAGCAAAGACGGCCCGAAGGCAAGAGGGACGTCCTCTGGCCACAATATCCAGTTGGCAGGAGAAAAATCCAATAGGCCTTTGGCGGCCTCCAGGACCATGGGCCTGAGTGAGTACTCCTGTTGCATGGCCTTGTCTTTCAGAAAACAAACAATTTGAAGGGTTTGGTATAGTCTGGTAGGCCAAGAGCAGGAGCAGAAGCAATAGCACGTTTGAGAGAACAGAAGTTGTCAAGGGCTTCTGTGGACAAGCAAAATGGGTCTGACTTGAGAGCATCATAAAGAGGTTGCATAAGGAGCGAGGCTTCTGGGATCCATGCTCGGCAATAGGAAATGAGGCCTAGGAAGGCGTGTAGTGACTTTGAGGTCCTTGGAGGTGGAATGTCCAGTACTGCTCTAACTCGGTCACGAGTGAGATGTCTGATTCCCTGAGACAGACAATGGCCAAGGAAGATAACAGTAGGTTGGCAGAATTGCAGCTTGAGACGTGAAGCTTCACATCCTTGTTCTGCTAGATAGTAAAGAAGATGAATTGAGCATTGTTCTGTTGTGGGTAGATCATCTCCACAGTAAAATGGGAAGGGAACAAAGAACTGTAGTGTCTTTTCGTGACAAAGGTGTATTTAATTGAACCTGGCCGACTGCAGTGAGGGTGATGGATGCTTGGAGGCGGGATAGGACATCAGCACCAACACAAGAGACATCGGTGTCAGGCAGGAACGATGAGTCAGGCAGGTCTTGTTCTCTAGGAACACTGCGGGATGCACCTGTGTTAACCAGGAAACCAGGAAAGTAGTAGGGTGACCTTCAATAGGTAAAGTTACAGTGGCTAGTGGCCCCCCTTGTTCCCTGTAGACACTGCCATGGCAAGGGCATTAAGCATCAGCGGGTTTGCTCTCCTCTGTATGGGCTGTGTTACTGACTCAAACCCCTTTCTATGTCATTAGCCATAGCTTTTGCAGTCTGAACATGTCTATCATTATAAATAATGGTTAATAGTAAGTGAAGTAAAGTTCCTAAATGTCTTTGGATAAAACATTAACTATTGCGGTACTATCATTTATATTAATTAGACTATAACAATTATACCACCCTGTAACTAAAATAAACAACCAGTAGTGGCTGGGTTAATAAAACATGCCACAAACCCTTCTAATGCTAAACCATCATTTAAAGTAAAGGATGTTACTGTAAACATACGATCTGTAACTAGCAAGATTCGATTAAGCAAAGATACAATGTTTAAAATAACTTGCATTATTT